GGGGGGGCATTATTTTTGAGCCGGTTGTTAAAATATTGTCATGCATTAAAAATGGTTCGGCACCTTTTCAACACTCCACTTATGCTATATCAGCCTACACCAGCTCCAAGAGTTTGGACAAGTTTGAAGTACTGTCTTGTTTTCACTGCTTTCAGACCTATACCGTTCAAAGGGTTCATTGCATCAATTCAGTAACATAAGTTTAGAGCTAGTATTCCTTTGACGCGTTTGGATCGGCCCGGTTAGGCCCGGTGAGTGTGGCTCACAATACTTGTAAACAATCGACAAGTTTTGGCGCCTTTTGAATCACACACGCGTGTAAATGACGTCAACGTGTTTGATTGACGGCAGTCTATTGCAAAGTGTACGTTGCGATTTTTGTCTGGGGTGGCCGCGTGGCAATGCAAATGGCGGTAAAGAAAAATTTGATTGTTCATTAATTGTTTTTAACATTGATCACCGTGGGTGCCAAGATGGATGTTATGTTAGTTGTTATCGGAAATGTTCTTGGAATAGCGTAAACAGACCTCTCATAGCCAAACTTCGATTTCTAAATCTTAAACTGACAGCAGCAAATCGACTCGGTCATGTTGCATTGAGACATGTTATCGTTATCGATGGTCGAAAATCAAACGATCTTAATAAGCCGTGGGCCTCTAACTAACACACATGTACTTACCCAGGAACTATAGGTTGGCTTTCAGAATGATGCCAAAATAGCATTAATGGATATTTGTTAAACAATATCTTCCAAAAGTTCTGTGCTCTCATCGACACAACAGAATAACAGCGGCGGGCTACAATTTTTTGCACTCAAATTTGGGGAGAGCTACAAATGTTTTGATGTTTCCAGGGGTGGGCCACAAATTTACCGCCACATTTTTTGGCCAAAAAAGTGCTGCTGTATCTCCATCCCATGTGCGCACAGTGGCATGCACAGCCCTATCAAGGGTGGCGTCGCACATGTGAGTAGAGTTTGTTGGTCACTCCCTCTCCGTCGATCGATTCGAAAGTTTTTTCAGGTTCTCTGGTTTTCCTTCCGCCGCATCCKAACAAAATTCTAATTTAATCTGTGAGTTAGTCTTGCTCTGAATTTGATCAGCCAGAGGATGCTTCAGGGTATAAAACTTGAAGTCCAGTAGATAAAAAAATCCACAAAAAGTAAGAATCCACTGACTTTAATAAAAATGATCTTAAAACTCGTCATCATCATCATCGCTAATCACTACCGCAAGAACAGCAATGGCGCAGCTGAACGGGTCGAACTGAAAGCATGTGATTAAGAATTTTATAACCATAGAGTTTGAGCATGAGAAAAGAATTGCTTTTTGGCAATCGGAAATGAGGGGGTTGGATACCCGGCAAACGTGCGGCGATGACCACCAACCATTATGTATGCAAGATGACATCACACGGTTACTTGCTTTGGGTCCATGACTAGCATGCCCTACACGCACGAGCAGATCGAACACGCAACCCGATTCGACTGGCTAGAGGTGAAAAAAAAAAAACACTGGAAGAAAAGTCAGTGAAAAAAAAGATTTTCATGTCACGCCAGTTAGTCTGGAATTGGACTTTAATTCTAAGCGCGCACTCTGGTATAACGAAAAAAGCAGCCTTGAAATGAAGAATGTTTTGCGTTTTTTGGCCTGAGTTTGGACATCACGAAAATGGAACGAAAAAACGCA